TTTATTCTGAGAAAGAGATAAATTCTATCACCCCGGTAGAGATGAAACAAGTAAATATCGAGGAGGTTAGCCTTGTTAGATAAAGAAGTAGAGCATAAATCGTTTACTCCAGTCCGAGAACTCATTATGTTTGAGCCGAAAGAGCATAGACATCTATCGGGAGGCAGCATGTAGCTTGGAGGAAACGGAGGAAACAGATACATTTTCGGGGATGAATACTTCCTTCTACAATGCCGTAACCGACGCCATATAGTAAAGTGCTAAGAAGCTGCGAACACAGCGGACATCACATACCAGACACTTCGCTTTACGGAAAGGACTCACGGCGATGATGTCAATAAATACATATGCTCGTTATAGCGAATGGACGCAAGAGTGATTGATTTCAATTCAAAAAAGCTGATGTAGCATAGAAGCACTTCAGCACTTTTTCTCGAAGAAAAAGGAATTCCAACTTGAACTATCTTAGAGGGATATAATGATACTGATAATGTTCCATGTGATAGAAAACCATTGCTCGACTGCACCAATCGCAGAATTCACAGTGCATCGACGAGAACTGAAATGGGGACAACGAGCATAATCGTGATGTCTCAATACGGAGATAGAGCGGTTCACAAATGCACGATATCGCGAAATGTCGTGCTCCGAAACGTCATATGAACAGTCTCTCAAAAGAAGGCAATTTCTGTCGCTTGCATGTTGGATCGACTCACTCAGTACCCTGTATTCATGACCATGTGAAAGGATGAGCGCAAACAGCTTTGAGGACAGGCAGTTTCCCATCGTTGCAAAGTTTTCTCGTCGTTACCACAGACAGAATTAGCTGACATATTACTGCACTCACCTGATCGATCCCTGTCTACCTTTACGTCCTGCTTGTCAAATTCGATAAAGCCACCCTGAGAAAGTGGCAATATTTATGAACCTAGAACAATGCGTACTTTGAAAACCAAGTTTACCGGTAGCAGAGAGAGACCCGACGTTCCCTGCGCCGGTAACAAGTAGTGATATTGACAGATTCATTTCGGCTTTGGCTTCTCTAGTAGTCCATTTCTTGTTTTCACCCTGGGATTTCGGTAACGCGTTGCTGTGACTGACATTTAAAACCAACGGTCGCCAGACGATCTTCCTTCTTTCGCAGGTCTGGCCTTGGTTCTCTAAGGCACTGACACTCGCCTTCACTGCATGAAGTAGTGGATGCACAGTGTAGTCACCGGACAATCGGGCATGGGACAGGTTGCGTCCAGTTCCATGGCACTGGTAACAAAATGACTGATCTGACTCTTCTTATACATTGCTTCATAAAGATAAACGACAGTACGCTTCAGTGAGTTAACAGCTACTCCAACCTTAGTCTAAGCCTTCAGTGCATGAGCAAAGTAAAATACTTTTCATTTACTCTGGCACGTTTATACTTTTGTTAACTTCCTGCGCATGCTGCACGTCAGGTACTTTCAACAGAGCATGCATACAAAGGTGCTCTTGTGATTCTGAGTGTGAGGCAGCGACTGCGACGCCCGCTACTTAGATCCCATTTTAATCAGAAAAAAACTGTTTTGGCAGTCTGACAAGACCATGATACCGAAACCTGCAGTAACAGAATAAAACAGAAGCTGCATTTTTTCACTGACGCGCCGCAGCGATGTGACAGCGCATGAAAAACGGCGTCCACTTCATTAAGAAGTGGGAATGAGGTACCGTAAAAAAATCATCGAATCCTTAAGAAAAGCATCGAGTCACAGAATTTTCACATAAGTATTCAGTTAATTGGGCAGCTTCATCAAGCAGCGTTTACCTCTCTTATTACGTCGCTCCCGGAAGTCATAGAACTGCCGCAAGTGATCAGTAAAATTACGGCCGGTTCCAAATAGCACGGGTAGCGACCATTGCCGAAATTGTCAATACCACTCTGCAGGCGGTTCACATTCAGCAGGTGTAGCGCATTGCCAAGAGCCGCGCCGGTGTTGGTCAGACCGGTCGCCCTGAGGTTCCTCAATTCTTCCATGAAAGTAGTTTGGCTCTCCCTCCATCCAGCCTGAAAATCACACGTTCAGTTGTTCGCTTCGCTGTATCAGTGGTCGTTGCCAACATGACCGTGTCGCAAACTGATCATTTACGTTCGACGCTTTCTCTTCATCGTGCACGACGTCATATCAGACAGACAGTGGCACTGTCTGAAAATGAGGGACGAGCACGACCATTTATAAGCAATCGAAAAAGACCATACTGAAACCCACACCTCAAGCACTTACCTTGATATGCTTTGGTGGATCTTCGAAAGTCAACAGCATATATCTGTCCAGCGCCCTGGCAGAAGGATCACGAGCTCGGAACTAAAAGTCAGCGTCAATGAACGGCAACAAAGACGCCGCATCGAGAAACGTGCTCGCGTTATGGGGGGAGGAGACCAATGATTACCCTGCGGAGGAGGGAAATGGGCGAATCACTTACAGCGCCAGCAGCGTGCAGAGTACTGGCCGCACGTTCCATTTCTCAGCGAAAAATAGACAACCGATGCTTACCTTCAGAAATGTGTCCACAGCCCCTTTGGCCAACTCCAAAAAACTTGGACCAATATAAGTGCGCTGGTTCATTGATGCGCCAGTATCAATCAGAAATAAAATAATGGTCATTGCTTTCAGTCACACTAAACAAGTGACACTTCGGCCGAGCGAACGCACGAACCGCCGCATTCAGTGTACACAACTGAACTCATCGACGTAAAATTCCGTACACCACGTCGGATAACCCGCCTTCGCCTTGAGTGCCCATTGGTTGTGCTTCTTTACCGTAGAACAGAAGTCGCTTTGAACGTACCTGCATTCAGCTACTTGTGTGATCCTTCTTCTGTAGTATCATAGTCACACACCTAACTCGCTGCCTTGCCTAAAATAAGCTAAACATAATTTTTTCGGGTGTAAAATAATGCGACATTTTGTTCAGTTCGAAAAGTAGTTGTTCCGCTTAGCACATTAGCGGAACAGGTTCAAATCTTGATGTGACGTAAATTTTTCTTATCCACTTTTAAAGCTCGCTACATCTACCGGTCATCAGGAGGCTTCATTAGCTTTTACAGTAGTATAATCCGGTGCTAAATAGACAAGCTGAACGTTCTGAATCCCAAACTTGATGATGCCAGCACTCCGCATGATTGCGCCAGCTAGTCCGTCATCTATTCGAAGGCTTTCGGGCTCCAAACATACCAACTGCTGTGAACACAAACCTCCGAAACCGTACCAACTTCCTAACATATAGGACCCAAGTCTAAACGTCAATGGACAATATTTCTTTGCGTTGTTTATTAATAAACCGTGTTTTATGTTGTGTCTTCTTTCGGCGAAAGTGAGGGAATGTCACCTATCAAAAGGCGGTTCTTCTTTCATTCTTTGTCATTTGCTCTGTTCTCATTCGTCAGTCCTTAATCGCACGTTTGATTTTAAACGCTCCTTCCTAACAGTTCAGCTCAAGGTACCATTTGTAACATTCTTCGACAAGTTCTTCCGTTTCCATCCATTTGTTGTCGTTCTTTGTTGATGTTGAATTCTAAATCTGCCAAAAAATGTCTTCTAAAGCACTTTCATGCTCTGAAAATTAGATTTACTGACATACTTTATTCAAGGACAACTTTACTGTCTTCATTCTAATCGAATTCTGCAATGACTCCATCTAAAATTTTCATAAATCTCACTAGTACATTTACGTGAAGATAGATACCGACGTAAACACGGGCGACCTACAGGCGAGGTTGTCTGCTATAAAATCTGACTGCTGCAGTCTGCTTTTTCAATATGCTGTTTTGTCAAATATTACTTATGCCTGAACCAGATGGAATGAGAAGGAATCGCTGCTGCATACTGTTGAGATGATTCTTCAAGATTATCGCAATGTTGCTTCAGGAATCCTGGCTGCAATTCGTAATGGATGATTCAATAATAGCTTTTGATGCATTTTCGTCTTCTCGGTTGCACGATTTTTCTATAAGAAAGTCTTGCAGAAGTGGAATCGCGACTTTTATTTGAAAATCGTGGTGCATCAATTCAACTGTAAAAGTTTTCATCTAGCCCGACAGTATTGACTGTATTTCGCTGCTAGAAATGGCTTATGTGCATGTACAGTTGTTCTTTGATTGGCAATGTATACATTTAATTAATGTGTTGTAAACAATCGAATCTGGAAGAATGCAACCACTCAATATCTACCTTCTTGATTCCGGTCATCAATGACGACTTGACAATCTTGGCCGGAAATTTTATTCCCCATATTCTTCAGTTACTTCTGAGGCCAAGTGTTTCAGGCATTGTTCTCCTGCATAAAGGAAATAATGCCAAATTTAACGACAGATAGTTGTGTTTACGAACATTGCAGATTTATTCATTTCTTGTCGTACAGAATCGACTGGTTCATCAGGTTATGGTTCAGATGGTTCCAAATTATTGGTTCAATTATACTAGCACCTGGTATACAGACAGTACGTTCAGCGGATGTTTTCCAGGCATAAATGTCTTAAAGTTACCTAATTTAAAACCATGCCAGTTTGACTCTTTGATTTCGTAGTTTGTTCTTTGCTGCATAGACATTTTATTTCAAACAGATATTGGTTTTAGTCCCTTCGAGGTTGAGACCGTGTTCTTTGACGATTTAGGCAGTGAAGTATTTTCTCTATATAAGGTTAAAACTTCCACCGTTGACTTTTGAGCTTGACCTTGACGCTGCAGTTATTCAGTATTTGGATAGTTCTTTAGGTGTTGTCAATGTTAAAATCTGTTTGCCTTAAGAAAAGTTTTTTACCCATAAACCGCTAATTTCCCAATCCGTTAGCAGGACTGCTGTTATACAGCTGTCTTGAATATGTGTTTTGTTACTATATCATTACTTAGCATTTAGAATTTGCTGATACTTTCGT